AGGGATTAGCAATGCTTTATGAAAGGAGTATGGGGGGAAAATAACCTAGTCTACCTTGCAACGGGATAGCTATTCCATGGAAACTATAGTATGCAAAAATATAATATAAACTGGAGGGAACTGTAATTTTCTTTTCTTTAGCTTATTAAAGCTGTTGCCTCTTAATATCCATCGTTATTTGCAATTTAAGTCATTATGGAATAGGAACTGTAACACTTGAAACCACAGAAAGTGATTTAAAGAAACAATGTATGCAGACAGCGCAGCTAGTAATGAGTAAGGTTGACTGATCCTCTGTTTGAAATGTCTGATTTAATTTTTTTCTTTTGATAACAGAAATTGTTGCCATGCTAGCCCAGATAGCTAGTCATTTTAGTAGTTTAAAATTGGATAACTAGTATAACGCCATAAAGTACTTGATAATTCTAGAGTGTCAGATAATCCCAGATTTTGGCTGTTAATGTACTGAGGATATTGTCTTTGCCTCTGACTGCCCTGTTAAAGTATGATACAGGCGCTGCATTATTTCATGCAATATTGAAGTTTGCAAAATGGCATCGAAATCTAATCTGTTAAGTCTGTTTTGTTTGTCTTCACAAAATGCTAACTGCTGTAGGAGACACTATTAAAAATAAACATTGCTTCATACACTTCCAGTAGTCCCACTAGTCACTTGATTAATCAACCTTAGAGTCACAGATGCCGTATGACATGCAAAATACCTCATGCAAGTAAGTTTATAGGGGCTGATGCCTAAGCTAGCTTCTAAAAATACTATTGTCGTTTGATATTGTAATAAGTCAAGTCAGAGAGCATATTTTACTTTCAGGATGAAAGCACTTACTTGGTAGAGGGGAGAGGAATAAAAATAGGTAGAAAACATGTGATTTATTGTAAGTGTGGATTGAGCTGGGGGAAGGAATGATGGAAGAAAGCAGGTGTCTAACTTGTTGACAAACTTTGTGTGTAGGTTGCACAAAACAATAAAACTTCTTTGGCTGTACAGTGACTTGGAACAATTATATAACCTTTAACCTTGTTCCAGTGTCCAGTCTGATTTTTACTGCAGGTGGCAACATGCCATTGTTTGTCTTTGATCAATTTACATAAATAGATCCTGGAGGGTCATGTGAAACTATCATGAGCTTTTTAAAAACGGCACAGTAGTTACCTTTTCTCTGCTGCCTGCATTGCTTTAACAGGTGGTGTGGTTTATGAAAGTCTGTCACTTTACTGTGTATTGCCCTGGCTTTAAATACCTTAAGGAAATCCTTGCCCAGGGCATAGTTTCATGAGAAAAATGTGGAACCAACGTTTTTATAGAAGATACAGGTAGAATTGTCCAGTATTGAAGCAAACTAGGACATCTGCAAAGACACAGTCACTGTACATCTCCAGTGATTGAAACCTCTACTTCTGATAAATTTTACTGTAACTTTAAGTTGGAGTCGATGAGGAAGGCTTGTGGTTTAAACACCTTCCTGAAGAACTGAAAGGTTGCCTCAGAGAGGATGGCATTTCTTTCTCTAAGTCAGTGGAAATTATTTTTAAGCTTATTTAAGTGCTAAGTTACAGGCTTTCAGCCAACCCCAGGCCACAGCTTTTTGATCTTCTACAGTAAAACTTTTCCATCTAGTACTGTAGGGGATTCAAAGATAAAAAGACCCTCTGTGTACAGCTATTGTATTTTGTAACCACATTGTATTGTATTTGTCTCCTTTCTAGCAGACATTTTACTTGGTTTTTGGTGGGACAATAAAAACACTTTAAGGCCTACTTGCAAATAAAATGACTTCTGGTGTAACTACCTTTCCTTGTTTGGTTTCTCAACTGCTGTACTAGTTAAGCATGTGAGCTTCATGATGGGAAGACTATCTGCGGTTAAACGCAGATATGCCATCTGAACTTAAATTGTTGCATGGGAACTAGAATTAGCACCCTTGTACTTCTTGAAACATGACCTCTGCTATTTCAGAAGACTCTTAAGCTGTCAATATTTTATGTTCTTGCCATGCTGAGCCAGTTCTCGGGGTACCCAGGACTGAGAGCTACCTTTTTATCCCCTGCCCCAACAAGAGGGAGTCTTGCACATGGTAGCTTGGTGTTACCTTCCTAACACCATCAGTCTGTTAGTCAGTCATGCAGTCTCTCCTGGGTTATGTCAGCCCTGTCTTTGCCTTGCAGGTTAACAAAAAGTGCATCCCAGTCCCCGAGTCCCTTTAAAGTGTTCCCCTGCGATATCCAGCCTCTGACACTTGGCTACTCAGAAATCCCAGGTCTTCTGCTCTCAAAGGTGCAGTGGACCCCAGTTTGCCAATTCGACCTTAAGGCACTGCACTTATGAGCACTTATAACACAAAGAAGGTTTATTTAAAATAATCTAGAGAAGCCATTAGAAACAAGAGAATGTGATGGAAACAAATGGTTGCAATACAAAACAAAATCATAAAATGCAAATTAGGGCCTACACTTTTATAGGTATCTTTTCTATCCAATAAAAGCAGGTTTCCACCGCCAAAATTCAGTCTGTTGCAGAACTGGCTGGCTTCCCAGGAACCTCCAGTTTTTCATGAAACACTCCCGCCCAACAAGATGTCTCCTCAGTGAACGGATGCAGAGTGCCTCTCCCCACCCTGTGATATACTGAAAATGAGTCTTTTGTCTTTATTCACAGGCAGGGCGATCCCCTGTCTGTTACAATGTTCCTTTTTTACCTCCAAGTGATTCTGATTGTTTGCAGCTGTCTTTGATGGTTTTCCATTGAATGTGCTGGGATGGAGCAAGGGTAGACAATTGAGCCTTGCATTACCTTACTGGGGAGTAGTGACAACTACCTCCCACTTGAATGGGCCCTCACCAAGACTTATGGTTTCCTGGTGTCTATGCCTGACTTACGGGGTCTTGGAGTTAGTTTTCAGTATGGTTACATGTTCCTTAAATATTAACCATGTGCACATCTCACAATGATTAGGAGTACTGGTAAGTTACAAGTTTTCAGTAGACACCTCACATGCTACCCTTCATGGATAAATACCGTGAAAGTGTTGTATTGATTGTAATGAGTTTGCCTGTTGGCAACAGTCTCTCACATGCATCTAGCCACCTGCTGAAAATTGAAGTCTGATATTCTGTGGGGTGGAACACACACTAGAGTTCTGGCTGTCATTACACTGCACAGTATGGAAGATCATTCTGCTTTATTCTCTGTCTGAGATGCTTAGCGCTTAAGCCTGGTCCAGTACTGGGTTTGGAATAGCTGAGTTGCAGTTAATTTCAGGTTTGAGTTCTTGGCTCAAACTCCTTTAAGGATAGCTTCAGGGGTTTCTGCATTAATATAAGATAATTTGTCTGTCTTACCCTACCTTCAGAGCCCCCCCCACCTCCCAAAGATACAATGCTAAGGTTTTTTGGCAATAGCCATGATCTCTTCTTTCATACAAGTAGAAAGGAAAACTACATGCATTGCAGTGAAAGCACCACCATTCTAAAAGCACTACACATTACATTAGTTAATTACACTGAAGTGTTAAAATAGAAGGATTAACAAGTGCTGAAAAGAGAAGGGTAAATAGGATTTCATGTCAGCAGGAAACTTCTTGTGGTTTTAGGATGAGACTATGGCCTGGTCTACACTGGGGGGGAGAGGGGGATCGATCTAAGATACGCAACTTCAGCTACGAGAATAGCGTAGCTGAAGTCGACGTATATTAGATAGACTTAGAACCACTTACTTCGCGTCCTTGCGGCACGGGATCGACAGCCGCCGCTGCCCCGTCGACTTTGCTTCTGCCTCTTGCCGAGCTGGAGTTCAGCAGTCGACGGGAGAGCGATCGGGGATCGATTTATCGCGTCTACACTACACGCGATATATTGATCCCGATAGATTGATCGCTACCCGCCGATCCGGCGGGTAGTGTAGACGTACCCTAAGAGAGAACTAGTTTGAATTCAAAATAAGGTAGCACAAGTGGCACAAGAAATGTCACGGGAAGATTAGCAGAAAAGATGGAAGGTCTGGGTGTATATGTATGGCCAGTATGAAGGCGTGGATGTCAAGATCTTAACTTGTACTGTATCATTTTGTAGGGTTTGGAATATTATACAACTAGATAGATAGGGATATTTTAAAACTTCACTTTTACATGTAAAACTTCAATAGAAAACTATTCTATGAAGCCGTTAGCATTTCTTGAGTTGTCAACATCTATAAACTTGTGAATTGATAGATTTCATACATACTGACTTTAAGTCTTTCAAGCAGCAAGTCTGAGACTTTCTAATATTAACTGGCACTGAGTTAGAAACAGCCTCTGTTAGAAACAGCCTTTAAGGAGGCATGGACTAAATTCTTGTCATGAGCTATAGACCATTCTCACCCTGGAATACTAGAATGTAAATTAACTCTCAATCTGGAATGTTTCAACAAACTAGAAATGTTAGGTGTTTACACATTGATAAAATGGTTCAGGTGAAATATGAATCTACTCTAATTTCCCTTCAAATGCTGACTTTGGTAAACCAAATGAAGTTAATCCTGTTTTTTTGATTCCCCCGTTTTCCTGCTCCCTGCAAGTCTTGGTTTTAGGCAGAAGTACAGAAGGCTTACAAGAAGTTATGATATTTTTTGACCCAGTGAAAGCATTAAAGCTTTTCAAGCCTGATCTTGTGAGTTTGCCAAAATAGAGAACTGGAATAATATCTGGACTTTTGGATGAATATCTAAACTGAACCTCTTATTCCGTTAGGGTTTGCTACCGTTAGGGTTTGCTACTGAATCTGTTTGTCTGGACTGTTCTGGTTAATGAACTATAAATCCTAAACCACAGTTCTTGGAATTAGGATTCACAGCTTTGTCATCTATAAGAACTTTATAGCGCAACCCAATGAAGAAAACTTTCTTCAGCTCTTTTATATCAAATTGCCTTAGCTCCCAGGATCTTAGATTATGGAGAATACAAAATGCATATTTTGATCAGATTTTCTGCTGTTTGTGTTTTTAGGATAACGTAGATCAGACTTCAGCTCACACTCGGAGAGATCTGGTGGAACCAGGATTCCAAGAACCATCTAATCGCATCTCTTTAAATCACCAAGGTAAGGAATGGGGTGGAATTACGTCTGGTCAAGATGCTGGGAAGGGAACCCTAGAAGTGTATGTTCTGAAGTATTTGTTTCTGCACCTGGTAATGTGAAAGTTGAAAACGTTTAATTGTTTATATCCTCCTCTTTGCAAACTGCTTCGTGAGCTATGAATGAAGACGACCAGGAGATCCTTTAGTGATATAGTTTCTCCATTTGTGCAGCTGCTTTAAGTTTTTCACCAAAACAGGTTTTTTAATTACTAAAACGCCTGTAATACTGTATTACAAATCTAGTTTGAAAGCTATTCCTTGTCAGGACCTAGCTTCAGAGTACTCATTCTTCTGGAAGAGTTGATACATATAGATTGGCAAGAGGAGTGACATCCTTACCTGCTTTGTGTGTTCTATATCAACTCTTACAGGAAAAGGAGAACCCTGAATTCATGTCATAATGCCTAAACAAAAGTGAAATTTTTCATATAGCTTGAGTAATTATTTCCCTTATGAAAAGTCCCATAACCGCTTTATTTCTTGTCCCTATTAATGAGGTTAGTTGTGACATTTGAGAGCTCCTGGAGTATAACCTGGATCGGGCCCCCATGGGGTTAGCGTTTAGACAAATACATAGACCTTGTCATAGACAGTTGGGTTCTATAAAAACTTTATACATCTCTATAGCACTTAAACACTGTGTATTTCCTATGGAGTGATTCAAACTCCAAGAAAAAGGATAGTTTACATTCTGTAGGATTTTTTTCTATAACAGTATCCATATATTAATTATGGCAGGGCTCACATTAGTTGCATTAGTTTAATGCAGCCGTTAACCTTGACACAGTCAATACAATAATAAGGCACCATTAACAATGTGCAACAGGATTAAGTTAACTTTTCTAAAAAATGCTGGAAATTTAGTTTCTCTGTTTATTTGTCAAGATCAGCAAGATTTGAATTCCATGATTTGCAAACCTCCCAGACTACTTAAGTTTTCAAAAGTAGTTTACGTTCTTGAATTCTTTTACAATCTGAGCCTACCCACAAACAGATATCCTGGACACTGTATGCACTTCGTATTTCTGCATGACTGTGCAGGCACGCAACATTCCATTTTTTGTTCACCTCAGACTGCCTTACCCACACTCTAACTAAAGCTTCCTTGTCCCATCGAAAGCCCTTGACAGACTTGATTTAAATGGCATTCTTTGAAGCCATCAGTAGATTTCCTTCTTTGTAACCAGATGTAGGACTTCTTCCAAAAAGTTACTGTCTTCTCAGACACATGCCACGGAATTAGAATGTAAACCTGTTGATGCTTAATAGTGCTCATTGAGATAGAGTTAGGATCTTGATTATGTTGAAGACCTGGGAAGCCTCACTTTCTGATGCCAGAAGTCCTTTTCCTAGGTCAAGAAGCCTCCTGATATTCTTAATAGATAAACACTTTTTTCCCCCCCTCCACCCCGCATCCACTCCTGTTTTCCTAATGTGGATTTAATATAATCTAATTCAAGTGAATATATAACACTAGTGTGATGACATTGGGAGTACCATCAATAAATCAATCCTGATTTGTCTTGGGTATAGCTTAGTCACCTTCCTTCATGATACTAATTATGATTCTCAGAACCATCGTCACTGTGTGCCCATGCATAATGTACACTCGCTCCTTGGCCTTAACCTTCTGAGATTTCTTGGAAATCATGTTCAAAGTGATCTACTCTCTATGTGCGACAGCACTTGAAATAGTTTGTCCCACATAACTGGTATGTTGGAAGCCTGCGAGTGGTTCAGCAAAAGTATTCAATATTTCTGCTTTGGCATTATGCTATCCGAAAAGGCCCATACATGGGCTCTATTTAGATATTCACAAATTGTAACTTGTGTTCGTCATTGTTATGTACCTTCATTGTGCTCCAGCAAATTAAGGATTCAGATCTCTGGGTACACTCTGCAGTAATTCCAGTTATCGCCTCTCCTTTGTTACTCTCAGTAATCACATGAAGACTTATTTGGCACCTGATATTTCTCTGCCTGAACTACTTTGAGTCCTGCAAACTACTCCGACGTATTTAACAATTGTGGTTAAATGGAATGTGTTCCATAATGTCAGTGGCTGCTCTAAGGGACACTTGAACAATAAGGCCAATATTTGATATAATTAATAATATGCTATCAATGAGTAAGTAAAGGCCAATTTTGTTGGACCCAAAAACAGTGTTCCTTATTCTGCAGCAGATGAATAGAAACTGTCAAGTCGTGTCTCAAATCCACTTCTCAGTTTTCTGCTAAAACTGAAATAATCAGGGTAAATATAGCTGGTATTTAGTTTGCAAGTGAACTTGAATGCTAACATGGATACATATTGTAATCATACTGTTTGTATAGGGAGCATGGACTGAGCAAAGGACTAGGAACCAGAAATGTCAGCATTCTAATCCTGACTCTCCCACAGATTGTGTGGCCTCTGACATTTCATTTAACTGCTGCTGCTCCTCCCCCTTTTTACAGTGGAAAAATAACCTAGCTTAATGCTTTTATAGCACTACGAAAATGTAAACAACTGTTAATGCTAAATTACTATGTCGAGTTACATGCTGGTTCTCTCTGGTATTATGACCTGCTCATACACGACTCTACAAACCTATGAAAAGTGCACTCTTCTCCAGTAACTGTAGAGCAAAAGTCCTTCAACACTGAACAGGTTCTGAGCTTGTTGGAATTCTTAGACAAAATGTTTGTATCATAAAATGCTCACTTGTGAAAACTGAAATATTGCGTGGGAATGTACCAGTTTTGAGAAGCTTTCATTAGGAAAGGTTTCTTAGGTCCAGGGTGGAATTTCTGGTCACAACCAGAGAGAGCATGAGCCTGGTGGTACAGGCACTCACTACAATGTGGGAGACCTAGCTTCAGGTCTCTACTCTGCCTGATTCACACCAGGTACTTGAACTTCTCTCACCTACCACCAGCAGTACATGTACCACAGTTTGGGAAATCACGCTTTAGCAACTCTTTAACCTGAGCAGAAGTTCTGAAGGAATTTGGCCTCTTTAGATCTGGATGAACTATTTTAGATAGTGCTGCATTTCACAAAATTAGACAACTAATATACAACAAAACTTTCAGCATCCCATATTTGTTATGCTATTGTATATGCCCACTCATTGCCATTTCATGTTTGACCCCAATGAAAGTTAGGTTCTCTGAATGCAGCAGACTTAACAGTTTCTATCAATCATTAGTTTACCAGCTGCTCATAAACTACAACCCCTCCTCTCTTTTATAAGTGAACAGCTTTGGTACAAGTGCTTCCAGTTCTAAATCATGCTTTCTTCCCATGGCCTGTACTCTGCTGAGGAATCTGAATCTCTTCTATTCCCTGTAAGCTGGAAAAAGAGGGCACAAGTGAGAGCTTTATCTGAGGGCTGAGAAACCCTTGCCAAATGTATCTACCTAAATAAGCTCTTTCATACTACAGACATTCCAAGTACTTGTTTGCAGCCGAATCATCCTTCCACAGAGACAGCCATTTCTTTTTTTAAAAAAGGCTAAACATTTGAGGGTGAGGTAGGGGAATTGGGAGTACATTCCCTCAAGTTAAGGAGTCTTGCAACTTGCAGTTCTTGTATACAATTATTTTTACAATAGCTATAAAAATAGTATTTTTGTTATTTCCAATACACTTTTCTGGTATGAGTCACTTCCATGAGCAACAAGTACTTTGGACTGAAACCATTGTTTGATATTAATACTGAATGATCCCTCCATTTAAAGGTAAAGCATACAAGTACAGTCCTCAGACAACATGAATTGGGGAGTATTTTCCTGTACCTCTGAAAACTTGTGTGACGTGCCATAGCCCTTAGAGATTTTGTAAGATTGAAGCCATTGAGAATAAAGAAATAAGAGACATCAACAAACGGTGTAAAATTTGAAGACATGGAAAAGGCTGAAATGCTCATGCTCTGTTTCAGTATTCAGGAAGCAGAATATTGTTTGAAAAAATGATTCAGTTCTGGGAAATCATAACAAAAATAGAAGATGGGGTAAAAAACCAAGCATTGAAATTATATGGTGTTTATTGAAGGGTTATTAAGGAAAGTGACAAAGTATATCAGAACAGTTATTTACCATCTTTAAAACCACGAGGAGAAAAGAGGAAGTAATAGCATGATTAGACTGGGTCAACTAAAGTTGCACTTTTTTGGGGGGAGCGGGGGAAATGGTCAAAGGAAGATTTGAGAAAACGGCAGGCCACTTAACCGTATCTCAGTTCCACATAAAAATAAGAGCAATATTCAATATTTTTCACTTGCATAGTGTGGTATGTATGCTGAAGGATAGCAGTCTGTTCACTGCCCAACGGCAAAGGGTGCAGAAGGAGAGAGCGAGGGCAATTGTAGCTAAGAGTGCTTCGGTGAAAATCTCATCACAATGTCATTTATGGGGTCTTTTACTAGACCCACCAGAAATTTTTATATTTTGACATTTTTGTCTTGATCCCCAATGAGGGTGAAAAGTCAAAACAGCAAAACCTTTTGTGGAACAAAAAGTTCTGAGAAGCATTGATTTGGAAATGTCAAAATATTTTGGGTAGATAGCAGTCTGCCTCTGCTGTGCCTCATGGGAGTTGTAGTGGGAGGGAGCCTCATGCTCATGTTCCCCCCAGTAGTCTGACCAGATAGCCCAGCCGACATTTCCCCTCTCCCTCTGGTTGTGCTGCTAGAGAGGGGTGCCGCAGAAGTTAGTCTACCCTTCCCACTAGGATGTTCATGAAGTTATTCATGCTATTTATCAAGCTTAGCTATACTGCCCAGCAAAGAGAGGTGGCTCACCATGTGGAAGATAATGGAAATGTGCAGCAGGCTCCCAGTACAAATCAATTGAATGAATGAATCTTTCAAACTTCAGCAGGGTTAAACCCTTAAGCTTGTGCCGCTACTGTTTCTATTCCCTTTTATTTGCACTTCAGCCTCCTTATGAAAGCTCAATTGTTTTTCTAGAAAATCATTA